CGACTGAAATGTCCTGGACCGTGATAACGCCAAAGCCTGTTGGCATGCACCACTTTTGGCTTACCTCGCCGACCACATTTTACCCGGAAAGTCACGTATGAGAGACGATCCACTATGTAATATAGGCCTTCCCATGGAGAAGACAATTTAGGAGACTTCCCTTTGGTCTTCCTGGGATTATATAACCACACCTTGTCTCCTGGTTCAAAGCTGACTTCAGTAGATCTCTTATCATAAGATAACTTCATCGAATCAGTAGACGTTTTCAAGTTTGAACGCACTTGATGGTGAATATCATGAAACAGGTTAGCGCTTAGGTGAGTTTAATTGTTGGAGTTTCAATTAAAACCAACCTGTTCACCTAATTTATTTGTGGAGGATTTGTCGTGACGAGTGGAGCCACAAGTCGCTAACTCCAGGAGTTTACAGTTAGAGTAAAGAATGTGAGTCTCAGACCAGCAATACTACTTATAATATCTTTTATTACATCAGGAATATCACTTGATAGTCCAACTCTTTAATCGTTACTTCAAGTATTAACATTTATAACTCTCTCAATAAAAACATATACTGTACAACTGATTTAGAGAGAGAGAGTACTTACTGGAGAGTTGGAACCTTCTTGGTAGAGTCGAGATTATTCAACTGCATAGTGTTGGCTGGAGACTGGCTGGATATCTCTGGAGACTACTGGATCCCGCTGAAGAACTCCTGGACGAACTGCCTTTCCATCCCCAGACATGGGTTTTTATAGCAGATTTTCTCTGTCTCCTGGCGAGAGACCAAATAGGACACAGCATCACCCACAAGTAGTGCTGTGCTCCTATTGGCTGCTTAGGGGCAAGTTTTGGACTGTTCCAGCACCACACCCAAAAACCCTCAGGCGATTGGTCATGGTCAACTGCTGTTATCCGGCTGCCTACTTGCTTGTACTGCTACACCCATGTACTGTAACTGATACGGCATCAAAGCACCGTGATGATTCATAAAATCTAAACTTTTCTGTAGCTTCTATAGTGCTACAGAATCGAGGACAACACCCTCTATCCTGTCCTTGTACTTTATCGTGCATGTGCAGAACAGTGGTGACTAACGAGGTTGTTGACTGCCTCTACTGTGACCTCGGCCACTAACTTCTATACTCATTTATATAAGTAAGTGATAGCACAGCCAGTGACAAATACGAGGCTAGAATAAGTTTAGAACGACTGTAAGTAACAAACACGAGGCTAGAGCGTTTTTTTTAACTGCAGTAAGTTTCTAGCCCTGTGCTTGATACTTATCTTTCAAGGCTTATTTTTTATACTACACAAGCCTCTCCTTGTCTTTAGATTTTTATATGTCCTTCGAGTCGTTGACTCATTATTTGTCCTTCGACCTATTTATTCTCTTTCTATCTCTCTTCTGTCTCTTAACTTTTCTAAGTTTTCTAATATAACTTCGTTAATATTGTTTTATTCTATTTAAATTCACAGAAGCAATGGATGAAATTTCCTCAAAAATTTCCCTTTGCTTCACATTCCAGAAGAATGACCAAGAATTAAACACTTGGGATGTTTATTGGATCAACTTCGAATCATATACTGTGATAAATGTTTTCACAGATTCAAAGTGTAATCTTATTATTCTGGGGAATTCTCTTTGAAAACATTGTAGGATACATAAGCTGATAAATTTCACATTGTGTTCTTGGAGCAGGGGTCAAGTCGGCTTATTTCTCTGCACATGCTTTGTTGCTCTCAAAAATATCATATTACGGTGTCACGTAAATGTTCTACAGCTCTTACTAATAGTTCATTGATTGGCTTGTGCAATGAGACATGTCTTTTCTGGGCATATGAACAGTGCTTCAGAACTGGGGGTCACAGCAACAGGCTTCAATTTCTTTATCTTATTGCCACTATCTTGATTATACTACCTGTCATCAAAATGCCTTTACTTTGCAATACAAGAAATAATTTTAAGACACATGCAATCAAATCCTTAATAAATTTTTTGAATCTTCTAAATTGTATTTTATAAGTTAATTTGTTTTTGTTTGTTTGGAATTAAGCAC